CTTTTTTACTATTCACTTTCAGCAGTGACATAGCTAATATATTTGTGTTTTTCAATAGCTTAAGGTCACCTTTATCTCAATAGAGAGAAACATGAAGAATGTCAGAAATGAGATGAAATGTTACTGCAATCAGTAACCAATACTACTATCCACTGTTGTTGTACATATACAGGTTTCGACAAAATCTGAAAGCATTCATTCACATTTTCCACTTAAAAATCTTCTCATATCATATGCATGCATATGATATACAACACAAACTGTTATCAAGATCATTTTAAGTAGATCAACAAATCTGTAGCAAAACCAAGTCTAAATATGAAAATCCAGGGGCCACAGGGATTGGTTCAGGGGGTGATCTCATCAGCATAAAGCTTAGAATTTTTGTTTGGTTTGGGGAGCACTCTCACTTTGCCTGGCCGGATGTGAATTAGGAAGCAACGTAGCCCCAGTTACTGCCGGTCACCGTACTAAAGCAAAGAACCTTAAGATGAAGCTAACACCACAGACAGCTGGATGGATGACCTTGATGACCACCCGCTGCTCAATCAGCCAACCCTGAAGTCAGCCCCACCTCTGGACCTTTGAGTTACACGAACCAGTACATTTTCTGGTCAGTTAAGCCAATTGAATTGGACTTTACTTGTGTCTAAAAACATTCTCAAATTAATCTATATTTACATAGTAGAGACTATCATTCCCCATTATACAGAGGAGAAAACTCAAAAGATAGAGCAATTTTTCCCAAGGTCAAGCTGGATGGGAACTCAGGAAGTTCTGACTATAAACCTGTCTCTCCCTCCATCACCAAGCTACCATTAAAAGAGCTTACAATGTGTCTAAGATCTAGCAAGATTCAATTCAATTCAATACACTGAGGGGCCACAATATTACCGTATGATATTTTCCAGATTGTCCTGGGTCACTGGTAACTTAAAATTATTTTGCTCTGTTCTCCTCCTGGTCAGTGGCATCAATCCCTCATAGTCTTTTACACACTAGGGCAGCATTAAAAATCCCTCATCAGACCATGTTTACTGGACAAAAAACTGGTTATATTATGATTAAGGAACTTTGCTAGGTGATTCAGAGGTAAAATGGTTAAACGTGGAATTTCCTTGAAGAATGTTTATAGAAATGCATTATTAAAACAAATACGGCACAGATGCCTGTACTATAGTAACAATCGTGTGAGTCTGCTGTCGATGCCTTAGCTGATCCATCATCATCTCCTACAAGACACTGCAATGGCCTTCACTCTGGAGTCTCCCTGTCTCCAGGCTGGTGCCTTCTGGTCCTTTGTCCAATCCTCACCAAAGTGATCTTTCTAAAGAGAAAATCTGACAGTGTCACTACCTGGCTTAAAATTTATGTCTAACAGATCCATGCCCAGGATGAAGTCTATACCCTTGTGCCAGGTGTACAAGAGCTTTCATTACTGGGCCCTTCCTTACCTCCTTAGCCTCATCCCTACACTTTCATTTATACTATATTTCTTGTGGTTAACTGAAGGTACCAGGTTATTTCATGCCTTACACTGTTAAATCTGTCTGGAATGTTCCTCCTTTTCTAACCTTTCCTTCTGTGGTACATGGCCAATATCCTCACTTATTAGCATTCAGCTCAAATCTCTCCTCTACCATAGGGCCTTTCCTGGCGATCTTCCTAGTCTCATCGACTCAACTATTAACCATTCTACCTTCCTTCTTCCACATCATTAGTCATCTATCACATCAATTATCCATCTTTCATTAATTTATTTGTTTACCATCTTCATCTATGAAGAGTTCCCCCTGGTTGTCAAGTGGGCAAAAACAACTGGCATCCTGAGATGACTGCAATTAGACAAGGATCTTCCCTTGGGTACCGAGACTTGAAAAGGCAGTAGGCACAGGCTGAGAGGAGAGGGCACGGTTTTTCATTACAAATTCCTTTGCCACACAGGCTGGTGAAAGTATTGATAAAATAGCAGCTAAAAGATAAGGAGTATCTTATCTTTTATGGATAAAATGGATATGGGGGAGTAAAAGGAGCCCACGTCACTGAAGAGTTGCGGTGGAACAACGAACAACTCAGAATGTGAAGTCGGCCAGAGAAAAGAGCATTTCAGTAGGGAAGTTATTTTCAGACTCCTTTTTTCTACTGCTTTTTTCATGTTAAAATATGCTTTGGTATTTGCTGCACATTATTCTGAGATTGTTTATTTATTCCTCTGTCTTCCCAAGATTTCCACCTCCTGTCGGTTTAGAGCCCACATGCTTCTCAGGAAGGCGAGCCTTCTCCTTCTTGCACTTATTCATGAAGAGGCCCATAAAGGCTGCAGAAACATACTACCGCTCAGCGTCCCGCCAGACTCCACCTTGGGAGCAGAGGCATTATTATTTATGATTGGACTGCGCACATGGTCTTTTGGCCACTTTTCAATCTCTCTTACTAAATTATTACCTTGGCCAATTTGAAATAATTTTCCAAGCACAGAGAATGAGTTTTCAGCTTGCCAGTCAGGCTAATAATCATGATCATCCCAGATGGGCTTCTGCAGCCAAAATTTTCAGGCAAGGGAGAGAGTGGAAAGCAAGCTACTGGGAGCAGGCCCATACGTGAGTTCTGACTTGGTCACTTCCAGTTCGTAAGACACTGGAGCAGTCATTTAACTTCTTCAAGCTTTTATTTTCTTTCTGTTAAAATGGTGATAAAAGTATTTACCTCCCAGAGCTGCCAGGACAATTCACAGAGTAACATTACAATAAATATTCTCTTCTTTCTCGTTAGCATCTGTTTTGAAGGCTGAACGTGAAGAGGTAAATGGAGGAAACTGGTTAATCTAGGCCAGTATTTAGGTGCCACCTGGGGGGCTATAATAGACTTTTGGAAGGAAACATTAATTCCCCTTATCATTGACAGACATTTAAGGGTCAATTCTTAGACTTCTACAGGTCACAATATTCAGAGAGAATGCTCTATCCACAATCCTCCGTTGAGAAGCAGCCAGAAAGGGCCCATTACAAATAAGCTATCTGCTTGGCAACAGACCTCTTCATAATCTGACCATAGCTGATGAGCCCTAGGACTAGTGTGCAGCCGAAGGCAGCCATTCAGAGGCTGGACAACGACCTGTGGCGTGGCCCAGAGCTCTGTGCTACAAGTCTGCTCCATACTGGATAGTTACACACAACCAAAGAGATTCCTCTCTGGGGAAATTTCAATGTGAGCTTGTGTGGGAATGAGTGTGAGAGTGTGTGTGTATGGGGGGGCCATAGTGAGCAGGTTCACACACCTTCATGTCATGACTCGTCAATTGTTTGGGAGGTCTTGCTCACTGAAATGGTTTCCTTTCACTCATATTCTCAGTGTTGACACCTTGCTATTCTTACTATAATGCTCTATTAACTGAAGCAACCAGAGTGTGGGGGTTCCTCACAGCATGAAAGAACCAAATGATCACATAATTCTAAAGCATGGGGCACACTGTTATATTTGCCCCAGGGAAGACAAACACGTGATCGTCCTTTCAGTCTCTGAGCTCGCTCTCACTGCTAACCCCAAGCCCGATGCCCACTTCCATTCTGAGCCAGGTATGTATTTATAGATAAGATCTATGAAGTACTAGGAAAGTCCAGGCTGATCCCCAGGTCACGTCAATTCACACTTTCAAATACTTTACTCACGGAGCCATTTGTAGTTGCTACCCCCACAGAACCACCTTAGTTTTGTATTTCTAATGACTGTCCCCCAGCTGCCCTGCTAGCCTCTACAGATGTAACGTTATCAGCTCTAAGTCAGATTATTTAAAGAACAGTGAAGAAGTGAAAATGAACTTGTAAAATAGGGCTACAGTTTTTGTACAAATATCACATTTAGATCAAAGTTTCAGAATATGACAGACTTACGTTCAAATCCTGGTTCTGTCAGTTATAGGCTAGCAGTCTGGGGCAAGTTCCTTAAGTTCTCTGAACGTAAGCTTCCTGATCCATAAACCAGGGGTGGCGGCATCCACCCCGCAAGGTTGTTATGAAGAGTTAATGAGATCACGCATGCACAGCATGTGGCACATACCAGGCACTGAAATGCTACTTCTCTTCCCATCTCCAGTCCAGGCTGCCATTCACAAGTATTCACTGGCTTCTGGCTTCCTCTCCACATTACACCCAAACACCACTGTTAGTCTTTTGGGGACTTTTCATAATGTATGGCCCATTTGGACCAAACAAACTCTCCAACTTACTAAAGGTAAGACAGACTTCTTATGGGCTCACAAACCTGAAAAATACTTAATTATGTCCTGGACATTACCTACTTCAGCTACAGGGACCCTTCTTCTCTTTTCAACTCCTAAAGCAGAAGACTGTCGTGCAATCAACAACACATTTGGAATCCGGAGATCTGGGTGTGAAAATGGGACTGGGCACTTATTAAACTTTGGACAATCATCCTTTAGGAATCTGACCTCCAGACTGGAGATGATAATACTTGCTTATTAACCACCCACAAGATATCTGTGCATATCAAATGACCTAACATATGGGAAAATCATTACACTCAAATTCAGTGTTCACTTTCATGCTGCCTTGTATTCCTTGCTCTGTTTTTATGAACATTTGCCTTATGTTCCTAGATTGTAAGCCCACTGGAAACAGGGATTACATCTCAAATTTCCTTTGGTTCTCCCCATAGGACTAGCACAGGGCTCAACAACAACAAAAGCAGCAGCAGCAGCATTAACCAAGGAGCAAACATTTACCTTAACATTTACTATTGCCCACTCATGGTTCAAATCACTACTGGTATTAAGTCACTTAGGTAAAGAAACATAATGTTTATATTTCATAATATAGAAATTGCTGAATTGAAAAGGAGAAATTCTAATGCATATATCATGAACAGGTAAATCTTATTAAGGATAAAAACAGACACCTGGCAAGAGGAGGACAAACAGCAGGGTAAACTATAGGAAAAGCCAAGGCATTGGAGGGGAGGTAGGTTTGTCCAAAGCATGCAGGTTCCCAGGACCGTCGAGGACTTGCTGACACTTTGAGAGTTCCTAAGGAGGGCTACAATGCAAAACGGGGAGAGGTGCTCATTAGGATGCCCTAGGAAGCCCAGCAATCTGACTGCGTTTCCCCATCTATCTACTTTCCCACTCTCCTAGAAGACAGCTCTATACCCTCTCCTCTCTCAAATCTCCACACTTCCTTCTTTATACTCACACTCAGCTGATTTCTTTCTGTGCCTCCTCATTGACTGAGAAAATAGAAGCAGCCAGAAGCTAATGCCCTCCATCTCCTACCACATCTACCCACCTTCCTGCATCTGTGCCCATCAGCTCTGCCTCCCTCCTGTGACATGGGAAACAGATAGGGATCTTAACCAAGGCCAATCGTTCCATCTGGGCTCTGGGTCCCACCCACTCTCACCAATTACAACAGAAATTCTCCCCTTTCCTTCCTATATCACCATTCTTTTTCATTCATTACTGTCTTTTCCATCAATGAATAAAAATATTGCTATAAAAAATCTTAAAAGTCTGCTTGTCACTCTTTGCTGGTTCCTCCTCATCCTCGACTCTCAATACTGGAGTGCTCTGGGGCCTCATTCTCTATCCTCATTTCTTTTCTACCTCCTCACTCCCTTGGGAATTTTATCCAGGCACCTGGCTCTTATTCCTCTCTATACATTGACAATGCTGAAATGTATTTCTGCAGCCCAGACTTCTCTGTTGAACGCCATACTCATACATACAACTGCCTATCAACAGCTTGACATGGATATTTAAAAGCCACATCAATATTTTTTTTAAAAACTATTTTGAGATAATTACAGGCTCATAAGACATTGCAAAATACTACAGAGAGGTCCTATGTACCCATCACCCAATGGTGACATCTTACAAAAAGTCATATCAATTTTACTATGTCAAAAAACAAACTCATGATCCTACCCCTAAAAGCTGCTCCTTCCCAATCTTAGTAAATGGAAACTCCCCCTTTATAGCTGTTCAGACCAACAATCTTGTTACCATCCTGGATTATTAGTTTTTTCTCACATCCCACACCAAATCCATCAGCAAATCCCTTTGGACCTATCCAGATAAATCCAGAATTTAACCATTTCTCACCATTTTCACTGATACTACTCTAATCCAAACCATCCTTATCTTTTACTTGGAAAACTGGACTTGCTTTCTAAGTGGTCTCATTGCTTCTACCATTATGTCCTACAGTATGTTCAATACAGCCACAAGGTGATCCTGTTAAAATGCCAGATCCAATCAAAACTCTCCAATGGCTTCTCATTCATACAAGCTGGCCCTGTGTCTCCTATCACCTCTTTGACCAGATCTCGTTTCCCATTGCTCTCCTCTCTCATTCCACTCCAGCCACACTGGCCTCCTTGCTGTTCCTCAAACAGTCCCAGCACGTTCCCTGTGAGGACTTTCACCTCCTAATCCATCTTACCTTGGACAACCAAGTAGCTTGTTGCTGACTTACTTCCTTAAGGTCTTTGCTCAGATGTTACTTTCTCAGTGAGGTCTTCTTTGACCATCTTACTTTAAATTGCAACAGTCCTGCTGTCCTGCACTCCTGAGTCCTTCCCAGGTTTATTTTTCACTTGTATTCATTACCATTTCACGTGTCTGAACTTAATCATTTTTGTTTATTGTCTAGTTTCCACCTTTCCCTAGTGTCTGGTCCCCAAGGTCAGAGTTGTTTGTCTATTCTGCTTAGTGCTATATACCTAGAACTGAGAACAATTTCTGATATGTAGCAGGCACTGATCGTGATTTTCCACTGGTATATAACAAATTACCCAAATTCAGAAGCTTCAAACATTTATTATCTCATAGTTTCTGTGAATCATATATCTGGGTGTGGCTTAGGTGGTGCCTTTGGATTAAGCTCTCTCATGAGGTAACAATCAAACCACTGGCCAAGATTGTGGTTTCATCTGATGACTTGGTTGGGTGGCAGGAGGAGATCCTCTTCCAGACTTGCTCACATGGTTGTTAGCAGCCTTGGTCTCTTGCCATGTGGGGCTCTTCACAACATGGCAGCTATGGAAACCAAGAGTGAGTGACCCGAGAGAGAGAGAGAGAGAAAGCCCAAGAACGACGCCCTAGGCTTCTTGTAATCTAATTTTGTAAGTGGCATCCCCTCATTTTTGCTATATTCTGTTATTAGAGGTAAATCAATAAGTCCAGCCAGTCTCTAGCAGACAGGATTACATAAGGGATTAAACATTGGAAGGTAAGGATCATTAAGGGCCATCTTATCAACTCTCTTCCCCAGCACTCAATAAATATTTGTTCAGTGAATGAACGAATTAACCAATGATGCATACTTGAAAACATGAAAATGCTCTGCCAAAAGGGAAAATGAGATTGATTTCTCTAGAAACGTATGGATTTTTTACTTTTAATAAATGGAAAAAGGGCAAGTAAAACAAATAATCAACTTTGGAAGTGTAAATACCGCAAAACCTTTAATGGGAAGCCTTTCCCTTCTTTGGAGTCTTCTAACAGAAGATCATTTTTCTCGACTGTCTATATCTTATTTATTTATGAGTAAATTATGTTATGTTATATCAAGTATGTTTTCTCTATCTTTCAAGTATTCTATCTGTTTCCATTTATTCTGTGCCTTTGACAGTCATATTGGGAAAAACAATTCCTTTTTAGATTTGCTCTTCTATGCTTATCTCCTAAGCTACTGCTTTTTGCATTTTTTTCAGATAGGATATGCTTATCAAACTAAACTCTCACCTTGGAAAAAAGAAGAAAACAATTCCTTAAAGGCAAAGACATTCAAGTACAGGAATGGAAGGATAATGTTGACAACTATAATAACACACACAGGCTAGCTGAAAGTCAGGTGAGAGTAGTATACATTGCCCATTTAAAAACTCTGAAATAGTCATTATTGGGTATCGTTATTAGCAAATATGTGCTTGGAACATAACAGGCATCCAATAAATATTTACTGATTATGTCTTCCTTTGTACACACAGCACTTGTTAAGATCCTTAAACAGTACTTCTTATATTAAATTTTAAGTCATTTGATATGCATACATACACTTGCTCCAATCAACTGTGAGCTTCTCAAGGGCAAAGAGCTTGGCAGTCTCTTATTTGTTTACAGCACTTAGAACAACAGCAATGAAAAAAGGCTCACATAAACATTTTCTAAATGCATGTGGAGTCAATAAAACTCATTCAGTTCATAATCAAAGGCATCAAATGATGACTGCCAAAACCAGAGATCAATGGGCAAAATACTTATTATGAGATTAAGAAAAAGAAAATTATGAGTTAACATCTAGTCACCCCATAACACTAAGTAATTTTTATAACACTTTCATAGTCAAGTTTAGTATGGTTACAAAATTGCAACAATGAACATCATAAAATTTAGGGGGAAAAATGGCTAACAAATGAGGATGCCCCACATAAACACAGCCAACTGAGTTTTGACAAAGGAGCAAAGGAAAAACAATGGAGCAAAATTCTTCTTTTCAATAAATGGTGCTAAAACAACTGGACATCCACATGCAAAAAAATGAATCCAGACAAAGAGTTTATATCCTTCACAAAAACTAACTCAAAATGAACCATGACCTAAATCTAAAACACAAAATTATAAAACTCCTAGAAGATTACATAAGAGAAAATCTAGACACCCTTGGGTATGGCTATGAGTTTTTAGATACAATACCAAAGGCACGATCTGTGAAAGAAAATAATTGATGGCTAGACTTCACTAAAATTAAAAACTTGGGGCTGCAAAAGACAACATAATGAGAATGAGAGACAAGCCACAGTCTGGGAGAAAATATTTGTAAAAGACACATTTAATAAAGGACTGTTCTACAAAATACACAAAGAACTCTTAAAACAATTTAAAAAAAACCTGATTAAAAAATGGGCCAAAGACTGTAATAGAAACCTGGCCAAAGAAGATAAACAGATGGCAAATAAGCATATAAAAAGATGCTCCAAATCATATATCCTTAGGGAAATGCAAATTAAAACAACAGTGAGATACTAGTATACACCTATTAGAACTATTAGAACACCCAAAATCTGGAACAGTGACAACATCAAATGCCGGTGAGGATGTGATCCAACAGGAACTTTCATTCATCGCTGGTGGGAATGAAAAATGGTACAATCACCTTGGAAGACAGTTTAGGGGTTTCTTACAAAACTAAGCATACTCTTACCATACAATCCAGTAAATGCACTCCTTGGTATTTACCCAAAGGAGCTGAAAACTTATTTCATAAAACCTGCACATGAATGTTTATAGCAGGTGGGTTCATAATTGCCAAAATTTGGAAGTGCCCAAGATGTTCTTTAGTAGGTGAATGGATAAACTGTGGTACGTCCAGACAATGGATTATTATTCAGCACTAAAAAGAAATAAACCTAATCAAGTCATGACAAGACATAGAGAAACATTAAATGCATATTACTAAGTGAAAAAAACCAATCTGAAAAGACCACATAGTGTGTGATTCCAACTATATAACATTCCAGAAAAGGCAAAACTAGGGAGACAGTAAAAAGATCAGTAATTGCCAGGGTTTGGGGGTAGAGAGTGAATAGGCAGAGCACAGAGGATGTTTAGCACAGTTAAAATACTCTGTATGATATTTTAATGATGGATAGATGGATACATGTCATTACACATTTGTCCACACCCACAGAACATACAAGACCAAGAGTGAATCTTAAGGTAGACTACAACTTTAGGTGATTATGATGTCTCAATATAGGTTCATCAATTGTAACAAATATATCTTCTGGTGAGGGATGTTGATAATGGAGGAGGCTATGCATGTACAGGGGCAGCAAGTGTATGGGAAATCTCTGTATCTTCCTCTCAATTTTGCTGTAAACCTAAAACTGCTCTAAAAAACGAAAGTCCCAAAAGATATATGAGTATGCCACTTTCCCCTTAGGAACAGGAGCTTCAGAAATGCAGTGTCTTCTAAGACAAATGTGTATTAGATATACATCCTCTCAATTTAGAAAATCATGATGATCAAAAGAACTTCATTCATTGCTGTAATATATACTCCAATAAAGATCAATATACACACACACATATACACACATGAGTAATTAGAGATGCATGTAGTTTATTTGGCTTTAAAGTAAAAATGTTAAATCTTGAATAAACTAAAATCCATTTACTCACAGATAAACAAAAATTTGTTGTATTAAGAGAGTAGATTTCAACTTTCAGTTAAATATTTTTCAATGATTTTTACCATTTTTCCATTTTGGTTTTTAACTTTAGTGCTTTTTATAAAACCTTCTTATAAAGCCTTAGAAAGCCAATAAAGTCTCTAAAACCTTTTTATATGTAAAGATATAGATAGGCAGAATTACAGTTCCCAAAGATGTCTACATCCTAATCCTTGAAATCTCTGAATATGCTACCTTACTTGGCAGAGACCGCAGATGTGATTAGCGGCATGGACCTGAGATGAGGAGGTTATCCTGGATTACCCACATAGGCACTAACGTCATCACGCAAATCCTTAAAAGTAAGAACCTTTCCAGGCTTTCATCAGAGAGAAAGATGTGCAGACAGAAGGGTGTGAGAGATGTAATGTTACTGGCTTTGAAGATGGAGGAAAGAGGTCTCGAGTCAAGGAATGAGGGCAGCCTCTAGACACTGGAAAAGGCAAAGAAATGGATTCTCCCCTGGAGCCTCCAGAAAGCAATGCAGCCCCACTGACATCTTGATTTTAGCCCAGTGAAGCCCTGTCTGACTTCTAACCTACACAAGTCTAAGACAGCAAATTTGTGTTTAAGCCACTAGGTTTGTTGTAATTAGTTACAACAGCACTAGAAAACTAATACACAGAGGGATTTTTTTTTTAAGGAAGAACACATATAAAATAAACTGTGCCAAGGAGAAGGTGATTAAAGTTGAAACACATGGAATCCAGATTATCCGAGGAATCAAGAAGAAACGGGTATATAAACCGTTGGGGGATGGATGGTATAATTTACTCCATTACCCAAAGAGCAGCCATGGTGAGGGGGAAGTGCCTCCATTTCTCTGTTGTTATAGAAAGGAGGACAGATCAAACAGGCGGATGTGGGGTGCATATAAGAGAATGACAAACGTACCCAATAAACGCATAGGTTGCCTCAGAAAATAGTGGGCTCCTACCTAAAGAAGAAAAGGATTATCATTTGCTAAAGACCTCTAACACTGAGCAGATAAGACTGGGCACAGAATTCTGGCTCAGCTCCTAACTGGCTTCTGACCTTGAACAAATTACTTAACCTCCAACCTTCAGTTTACCCATTTCTAAACTGAGATAAAATACCTATGTTGCAGGGCTGTTGTGATGATTACTAGAGATAAGGTAAAGTGTCGAGCCAGTGCCTGGTATGTAATTGTGAACAATAAATGGTAGCTATTATCACCATTATTATATAGCATGGACAGTGATTTCTGTAGATGATAGATAATTTCCAAGGTCTTATAATTTACTGTTAGCTTGACATCCATTTGGGTATGTGTGGGAGGAACCATTTCCTCCCCCTTTGGAGTTCTACCTTGGCCCATAACGCAGGAAGTTCTCCTACGGAGCCCAAGAAGGTAAGTTCTGCTTCTCTCTTCATCCTTTCACTCCTCGGGGAGGAGGAGTGACATGTAATGACACGTGGATAACAAGTTGATTATGGATAGCCAGTCCTTTCCCTTTCTTTTTGAGAAGTGCCTGACTGTGAGGAGAACACACTTTTCTTCTGCCTTTGTCCTTCCAGTGGTAAACATTTGTGGGTCAGGCCCAGACTCCGGTTTGAGAAAAGCACATTTGTCCAACACATTCACGTGGCTACTGAGCATCTGAAATGTCACTCGTCTGAAACTGATATATGCTGTAAGTATACAGTGGATGTCAAAGGGTATATATTAAAAAAAAAGAATGTAAGGAATCTCAATAATATTTTTATATTGATTACATGTTGAAATGATACTTACGACAATTTCACCTATTTTGTTTTACTTTTCTTAACATGGCTCTAGAAAACTCCAAATTCCACATGTGGTTCCCATTCTAGTTCCACTGGCAGCAGTGATCTAGAAGCCACTTCTCCAGGTCCCATGAACAGAAATCAAGATGGGAGGCAGCCGTTCTGAGAAGGCACATACGCTCTGCAGACCTAACTGTGAGTTTGGCAGGGTTGTCTGAAGATCTGGCACAGGTTGTAGCACGAGGAAAGCTGATGTGGAGAATCAAGCCACATTCGCCACCCCAATTCTACCAACAATAAAGCTGGTATTTTGATTTCCATCTATCTGATTGTTCTCTCTTAACTGATGGTAACTTGGGAAGATGGGATGTTATTTACAGCTCTTTCCCAATCAAACCCCAAAGACATGACAGAAATATTTCTATTCCCACGGAAGTAGCACAAGCATAAAATTCAGGGATGAACACCAAACACAGGTAGTGGTCCTCTCCAGGTCCTTAGCAGCACAGATTTCAAAAACATCTACACTGCCTTCAGTTGCGAGATCTACTGAGGGTGGTTTTCAGCTGAAACACACATGGGCATGAGTGGCAAACCTCCCAAGGAAACAGGTTTCTGAGACAAGTGGGATTCCACAGCAAAAAGGCAGTGACAGCAGCCACTGTGATACTTAAGTGAGAACAACACAGGGCTTCAATGGGGAAATGGACAAGGCAGTGACTACAGACACGGACCTGTAAAATAAGTCAGTCTCAGAGAGGAGACAGTATGGATGGATGGATTTTCCTTCCTCCACAGCAAACATACGCCACAGTTAACCTGTTGATGGGAGACCTTCCCAGCCAAGCTCTGGACAACTGGCTTGACCTGATATCCTGCACAGCTAAACCCAGTAAGGTTTTCTCTGTGTACTCTCCTTCCCTCCACACCACCGAGCCAACATTCTAGGAATGTGTGTTGGAACCAAACTAAGAACAGGATTCAAGGAAACTTGTTTCACTTGGCTGGCTGTTTCAGGGGTTGAAATTTGCCCAAGTTTTTGAAATTGCATGGTTATGGGGCTGATGCTGATAGAATTTTATTTTTTCTATTGTTCTTTTAGAGTTTTTAAAATAAGATGCATGAAAAACTTGAGGTGCGATTAATTTAACCTCAGATTTGCTGCAGAAGTTACACTGCTCAAGTGAAAGGAGGTGTATTCTGCTGAAGGAACCTGGGATCACCCAGACACCGACACCAGACCTCTCTGGCTGAGACAGAGCAGAACCAGGAAAGATACACTATGGACTTCGCTTTCGTTAACTTATGAATTTTGTATTTTGATGTAATTGAACTTTAACTGCAAGGGCAAGAGGACTTGATTTTTAGGATGTCAATTTCTCTCTGAGAATTTAATAATGGGAATTTAAATTTGGGCCATTTTAAAGTTGCTGACCTGGAAGACTTGGTATATTTTCTACTCTCATTTAAGTTCATTGTTTAACTTCTGATGAGTTTTAATCATCAATTCAGTTGAAATGGGAACTGGAGTAGAATGAATTTTGGCCTAGTCTATAGGGAATTAGAAGAGTGTGCTCTTCTGACCTATTTCAGAGCTCTCTGGAAGAAGAAGCTGAATTGCCACTACCAACCTCAGGAGGAAAAAAACAAAAGACTTGTAGGTATGAGAAGACTGGCCTCATGAAGTGGGAGCACCAGGATCACATCCTGACAGACTCTGGACTCCTTTCTCCCCTCATTGGCAAGAGATTTTGTTATTAAGCCTAATAAGTTAAGGCTTATAGGGAACAAAAAGGCCACTGCCCACTCCTCATCATTCCAGGATGAGGAGAAAACTTTCACACCAGTCAACAGACAAACTATAGGAGGAACACGTCTGGCATCTCTCTCCCGCTCCTCCATACTCTCCCCCACAGGATGAGAACTGACTAAAAGCCATGTGCAGTGTAGCTGTTCCTTGTCTGCAACCTGCCTGTCCACACCATCTACTCATGCTTGGCTTCTTTACAGAATTACTTTCTGGAGCAGCCCTAACTAGTCAAGTTTCAAACAAGTGTAAAAGTGAAAGAGAGATTATTGGCCTCTAGATCAATTCTAGCCCTTTCAACAACAGTTATTAATATCTATTTATTCTCGATGTTTATTTTCATCTTTCTGAATTGTAAAAGTGGGTGTGAGTGAAGGAGGGGAGGAACTATGACTAAGCATCACCCTCAAACCCTACTGCAAATAGGCGCTGGAAAAATCACTCTTCTCTGATCTGATATCCTGGCCTGGGAATAGAGCTGAGCGCACAATTTTTAAGGAGAGTCCCTGAGGAGGTGCACCCTTATTCTGAGCCCCTTCTCCTTTCTTATATGTCTCTCCCAGAGAACTCCCTGCTGAGTTTGAGTAACGATAAAAGATAAATGTATTAGCTAAAAAAATTATAAAGGCTAAAATTGGTAGAAAGAAAAAATATGTTGCACAGTTCATAAATTCAAAGTGTTGTATAATGACATTACCATGCACACATTCCATCTTATATTTTCAAATTATTTCTAAGACTTCTACACCAGGAAAGCTGATTAGAAGTGATTCTATTTTAAGGAACTGAAATTTTAAGACAGTCCCTTATGTACTTACCAGAAGATATCTTCATTATTCTTATTTATATTATAAATACTTAGGAAGTTGAAATGATCTTTCACATAGGCATCAAAGAGGGCTGTGGTTTTGGAAACAATAACCTATGACAGTGGTTCTCAAAGTGTGGTCCACAAACCACAAGAGTCCAAGACTCTTCCAAAGGGTCTGCAAAGTCAAAATTATTTTTATGACACTAAGGCATTATCTTCTTTCACTGTATTGACATTTGGACAATGGTAAAAAAGCAATAGTGGCTAACACTGTGGGCACTTAGAACAAATCAAGGGAGTGGCACCAAACTATATTAAGACTCAATTGTGTTCTTCACTGGCATTTTCACTTAAGAACGCACTTGATGAAGGAGTAAAATTTATTATTTTATTAAATGTTAACCATTGAGTGCATATGTTTTTAATATTGTATGAAAAATGGGTTTATACATAAGGCACTTCCCTGTATACTGAAGCATAATAAGGAGAAAGCATTTGCATGATTGTCTGAATTACAAGCTGAAGTAGCTGCCTTTTGCATGGATCATCACTTTTGCTTGAAAGAACAACTAACAAACAAACTATGGTTATTCAGACTTGGAAATGTGGCAGATATTTTCTCCAAAGTGAACAAAGTGAGCCTGTCACTTCAAGGAAAACAACTCACAGTATTTGTTGCCAATGATAAAATTTGAGCTTTCAAGAAAAAATTAAAATTTTGGAAAACTTGTATCCACCACTGTGAGCATGACAGCTTCCCAATACTAAACAACTCATCTGCTGAGATGAGTGATCATATTAATGCATGTGCTTTTGTTGATATGGTATAATGCAATGTATCAACATTTGGACGATCTGCATAAGTCAGTGGACCACTATGTTCCAAATACCTAAGACATTTTATTACAAACTATACAGGGGTAAAAGATCCATTCAAAGTGCAATCTAGACCAATGGTTTTAATGTAATAGAGGACAAAAAGTTCAAAGATATGGTTTCAGACTCCACATTGCAACTAGTCTTTAAATATCTATCACTTGTTAATTTTCAGAGTAGTATCAAACAACCGAAAATAATCAGCTATTAAGCATTCCTCCCTTTCCAATCTCATATCTGTCTAAGACTAGATTTTCTTAACTTCAGCCAAAACAACAAAGACTGAATGTGGCAACACATATGAGAATCCAGCTGTGTTCTATTAAGCCAGACATGTAAATGTAAAATGATGTCACTCTTTCATTAATTTTTTTTCAGAAATACAGTCATTTCCCCTTAAAATATGCTATTCATGTCAATCTATAATGGGTACATTATTGCTAGTTTTAAAGGAAATAAATATTTCTAAAATTTCTTGGTTTTAATTTCTAATTTGATAGATATCAATGGATGCAATCTTAATAAACAAAAGTTCTTTAGGGTCCTCAATAATTTTTAAGAATGTTAAGGCATCTAGGGCAAGGTGGAGCAAAATGGCAGGGTGAGCTGACCCAGGACTCTCTCCCCTCCAAAATAAAACCAAAGAAACAGAAAAACTGAATTTCAACCAATGACCCCTAATGCCGAGACTGTCAGAGACCCACAGAGTAAAAAGACAGAGAACGGACAGGCTGGAGCTGCCCTCGGAGGAGGTGGAACGTGGTAGGAGAGAACTTCACTCCCTCCCCTAGAGTATGGGATCGCTGCCACGGGTGAGGGAAGGAGCGGTGGAGGGGCCCCGCGACCAGGGGATCATCCAGGACTCCTGCCACCGGTGCAGTGGAAACCAGCTGATGGAGGAAAGCTTCCGTATGCGAGGACGCCATCAGGCCAGGGCCCTGGGAGACCAGAGAACAGAGCTGATCCGAATCCAGACCAGCGTGAGAGAGAAACTGCCCCTCCCCCCCGGCAAACCGTGCTGGGCGCCACCATCTTGCCCGAAGGCGGAGGGCTCAGAACGCGCAGCTCTCGACCCCCATCTAGTGGCAACAGGCTGTAACTGCAATCGAATTCTACCATCATGAGCAAAAACCGCTCCTCTACCATCCAGCAATTTATAAAAGCTCCAGACCAGAAGGAAAACAATAAAAACACAGAATTAAGTCCTGAGGACTTGGAAATAGGTAAACTAAGTGAAAATGAGTTCAGAGTAGCTATCATCAAAAAACTCTATGAGGTAGAGAGAAAGATACAGAAAAAAGCCAACGAGTTCTGGAGTTACTTCACAAAAGAGATTGAAATTATAAAGAAGAATCAAACAGAATTACTAGAGATGAAAAACACAATGGACCACATAAAACAGAATACGGATTCCCTGAATGCCCGTGTAGACATCACAGAGGAGCAAATTAGCATAATCGAAGATAGACAGGCTGAATGGCTCCAGACAGAGGAAAAAAGAGAACTAACAATTAAAAAGAATGAAGAAAATCTCCAAGAGATAGCAGATTCAATGAGGAGAAAGAATTTAAGGATCATAGGAATTCTTGAGAACGTGGAAAAGGAAATTGGAGCAGAAAGTGTGCTTAATGAAATTATAGATGCGAACTTCCCAAATCTAGGGATTGAGGAAGAAATGTGTGTAGAGGAAGCTTTCAGATCTCCTAGATTTGTCAATATAAAAAGACCCACTGCAAGGCATATAGTAGTACAAATGGCAAAAATGAAAGACAAAGAAAGAATACTCAGGGCAGCAAGAAAGAAGAGAATAACCTACAAAGGAACTC